TGGTTAACTTAAATAGATTTGATATTTGGTTGTCTCATGAATCTTAAGCGCTAGTTCTCCATATTCATAACGTGATCGGCGGATTAGTGACTAAAGAGAGATGAGCTGGTGTTTTGTGAAAATTGGCTTACCTTCCCCTGCAATTATAGCTTTGGCATAAGTCCGAACTCTAGCAATTAACTAAACAGAAAAAAAACCCTCCATCATTATACTTAGCTTGCATAACACTTGTTGAATGAATAACAGCAGGAAAATACAAATTTTAGAGATCGAACAGACTAAGCTTCACCTTCCATGAGCCTTTATTTTACTATATTTTATCATATATTATTATTTTTTCTCATCTTCGTTTGTTGAATGCAGCCTTTGGGTATTTTTATATCTTCATTCCTGCTTTACTGGGAATTATCCTTGACTTAGAAAGAAACTCTAGCCTTTTATCGCAGTACTTGATGCAACACTACCAACGGCAAGTGAAAAATAACAAACAATCTGTTAATACTCGAAACAAAGCATCCTTCGCTTTAGGGTTCCTAATCTTCTCTGTCTATACGTCAAACAGAGGGAATGAATTCCTCAAGATACATGTTTCATTTCTTCGTGCTTTTCGTCGCAAATATTTTTTCCACAAGAACAACTTTCACAGAAGCGCCTTAGTTATCTTTTGTAATTAATTTGTATAGGTAATCACATGATTTCGAGTGCAATTTGGAATAAATAAGCACGAGTAAATTTTTTCAAAGACAAACAAATTGCATGAGCCCGTAGGGCGAGTGCAATTTGTGGTCTTTGAAAAAATTTACTCGTGCTTATTTATTCCAAATTTCATGAGAAAATCATGTGATTATCTATTAATAATATACATGAAAAAATACGAGGTAGTTTCTCATAACTAAGAAGAAAAGCGCGCATCACGTGCAAAAATAATTTATTCAAACCCTGCAAGTGACATTGACCTTGACATTGACATTGACATTGACCAATCATTCTGACCAATCAGAATGTCTGGTTTGTTTCTTTCTTTGCACTGAATTAACCCTTTTCTGCACTGAATTAACTCTCTTCTGCACTGAATTAACTGAAAACTGCATTCATCTTAACCAATCAGAACTGAGAAATTTTTCATGTATATTATTAGACTTAATAAACAACCCTGAGAGCGGATTTTAACCATTTTCCCATCGGTTTGAAAAGCGCAACGCTGTCAGTGAAGGTTGTAGGAGACAGTAGAAGGAGGCAGACTATAACTGACAGCTCCAACTACAAAAGCAGTTTTCTTAAGCGCCTTGTTCTCTTTGATGAATCTGTCCACTTCGCCTTCGGACAGCTGGTTGGCCGCTTTTATCTTCCTTTGTTGGCACCGGGTTTCATGATACAAAGTGATATAACCGTCGGTAAGAAAAACGATCCATGAAATTACGACAATGGTTGATGTAGAATAACATACTAGAAATAACTTAAACAAGTACAAAATTACACACATGATTGGAATAGTCCAAGGTACAAATCCTGCTACTTTTAGTTTATCAGTTATAACGTTAGATAACGCTTTGATCGACCATTTTTACTCTAGTGTGCATGTGTTTCGCTTGACTTTTTCTCACACATGAATTGAAGTAATTGCCAATTGCTTTTGTTGACAATTGTGATTTCAAAGTCTTTTGAAGATCCTTGAAATGTTACTACTTTTGCGGGCGATTTATTGGAATACCTTTTTTGCGTGCATGTGTTTCCACTTGACTTTTAACTGCGCTTGAATGAAATAATACCTTGTTTTTTTGAAGCAGAATTCAGCGATGAACTACGTGCTTTATCTTTTTGAAATTAACTCTTTTCTGTACCTCCCAATACTGGGCTTTTTCAAACTCAGTCGAAATGAGCTCTAATTAGAAGCTGTTATCATAATAATGATGGACAGGCCGCCACTCAATCAGAAAAGAAGCTTTCGTTAGTGCGACGATAGCACGATTTACAAGGCGTCCATTATTATCACTTTAATCAGTTGTAAATGTTTGGTGAAATTATTTAATTGTACAAGTTCGATTTTGTAGATGCTTTTCTCATAGTTTTCCCCCTCAAATGTTAGTTGTTTTCCGAGGCTATTATTGACCAGCTTGAGTCTAGTGATCATGTTTCCACTTGACTTTTTCCCGTGCATGAATCGCAATAATTCATAAATGATAATTCACGGGGTCTTTTTTTTGTTAGAAATCACAAATATAAGTTTGATTAGACTATCAAAAGGATCAATGGGAAAGTTGGAAGAGAAGGATATGGAGAAGATCAGCAGCGATTGCAAACCAACATCTTCCATATTTAGGCAAATTAAGGTGGCTCGTACCGGTTTTCATCTTTTTGATGGTTTGTAACTTTCAAAGAATACAACAGAAAGACTGACCAAGGCCAGTTGAACACTTTTACGGGGTTGAATTACATAATCATTGGTTATCCGAAAATAAGTGTCATTTCGTCACTAGCAGTTTCCATGGCAACGCTTTCATAGGCTTATT